CTTTTTAGGAGCGATGATCCAATCGAATACTATCCAAAGCAGATCATATTACTTCACTCACTTTAGTGAAATCATGCAACCCGTTGCTAACTCCAATTCAGTTTGGAAGTTGTGTTATCGCGCCTCCTATCACGGCTGGGCAGCAAGAATTTTCCATAGCAATTGTGATGGGAAACGCGACACGGTAACCATAATCAGAAAGGATCAATACGTGTTTGGAGGATACACAGACATTCCCTGGGGTAAGAAAATATGAAGAAAAACAAAAACAAAAAAAAAAAAAATATATATATATATATATAATTTTCATTTCCTGTCCCAAGTTTCAGTTGACTATCGAATTTATAATGGTTATGCTTTTATGTCAGCTTGTAAGGTCTGTATTCTGAAGAGCTGGCAGAGTAAATGAATGATGTTATATTCATTAATCTTTATATTTTCTTACAAACTCACCGCACTAGGGGCAAGGTCGAAACTTGCCCACTCGAGCTCGAATTCTTTATCGGTCGATTTTTGGCAAGAGGCAAGACGCCGGGCCGACTCAACTTATCAAATCTGATAGAAACCAAAAATCATGACGTACAGACTGATCTAAGAAAATAAACAAAACAAAATAACTATAGCGTTAACAACAACAACAACGACAACAACAACAACACCAACATCAACAACATCCAGCAACTTTACAAAACCATGACGTTGATGCCATTTTCCACTATTAAGCAGCTCAAATGTTTTTCACTGTTTTCTATCTAATTCACATTTCTTATTTTTTTCTTGATTTATTTATCTGTCAGCGTCCAGTGGTGGTTATGGTTTAACTTCCAATGCGTTCATATTTTCACTCCACAACAAAGAAGGTCTGAAGCCATTTAAAAGCATTGTGAAAGACCCATCCAAGGCCATTTACAGGGACTCGGGTTGTGGCCCAACATTTGGTGGAGGACACCAAATTAAAATTGCTGACAATGCCAATAGTAACACGAACTCCTACACAAATTTTGGCAGCTATTACTCTGTCCCAAGTGGAGTACAAGACAAGAGCACAATCCTGGCTGGTGCCTACCACTTCGCACCTGATGAGGTGGAGGTGTTTTATCTTGGCTGAATCACAAGAAGTGTGGAGTAAAAACAAACACTAAACCACCGGCGCATATTTTAATATTTTCTACATGTCATGGTCGTAGTAAATAGACCCTGTTAAATATTTGTTGCTGACGAAGACATTTTCAGCCAATGACCGTTTTTACTGACTGTTCGGGAGAAAAAGTTATATGTATACAATTTTGTGTATGAACTGCTATTTTTTTTTCTTTTTTGCTTTTAAAGAAATGTTGATTATCAAAGGATTTTCCCAGTGCCAATTTATTGAAAGTTAAGAAGAAACTTGTATTCAAATCGAAATTTGCTAGAGTTCTTCTGATAATCGGTTACCGACAATGATTGAAC